GTAAATTTAAGTGAGTTTCAGAAAAAGCTTGATAAATATATGATTGATAAGGGCTGGCTTTAAGATTTGAAAAAATATATATATATAATTTAGAGGATGGAACAGTCGAGATGAACCAATAGGTCCCACGTTGTCCCCAAACATTATGTTATGTTATGATGCAGAATGGAAAATCCCATTAGTTTAAAATGTTCAGTACAACATTTAAAACTGTGAGAGTTTATCATCCTCTCGAAATGGTGCTTGATTACCTTTAGACACAAGTGGTTAAAGCCTTTGGAAGCTTAGTTCTAAAGTTAGCTAAGTTGAAATATTATGATAATAAAGTAGTTTCCTTAAAACTTAACAATTAGTCAGGACGTGGCCTATTGGTTAAAGTGTCGGACTATGAATCCGAAAGTCCAAGATATGTATCCCGTTGCCGCAAAATCACAATCTGCACTTTGGGGCCGCCGGTGAGCTATAAGATGGCGGTTAAATCCCACTTTTCGATCAGATAAGAATAGCTCATGAGTTTGATTTGAATGTTGTTCGATCAAGGATATAATACGCTACAATATTAACTTGGCCAGCTTTACAGTGGGAAAGGTTTTTAAGTAATTAAAACTGCATTGTTTTATCCGTAATAACGGGCCATCTTCAAGCAAAGCAACAAGTTTTTATTAAATTTAGTGTGGTTGAAAAATTAAAGTATATTTAAACGAAACATATAAATACAATGAATATTTTGATGTTGTAATTTTCTTTACTAAAGACCTAAAAATATGAGAAACAACATTTTATGTAAATTATTTATATTGCAAAATACATTCAATGTTATGATCATTTGACGAGTTGTGTAGATTTGTAAACTATACTTATAAAAAAAATAAAAAATGTTTGTTTATTTGTCTGTTTTTCCGCGAACTACTCCGTGGTCTTTGGACCAATCTCAAACTTGGTAGAATGATACAATGGGCCAAGGGCATGTCATAAAACGGCTAATACCCGACCCTGAGCCACGTCACACACAAAATATATTTGTTTAGATAATGGCTCCACAGTCTTGGACCATTTTTTATTCCTAAAATGTTTTATTTTGAGTTTTTCTTGAAATTTTATTTTGAATTTTTGTCGGAAAATGATGATTTTTTCACTAAAAATGTCAAACATTTACATTTTTGCCAGGAAAGATAGCAACCAAAGCACAAAGTAGAATCTTAAAGTGGCAGAGCTACATCTGAAAACCCCTCGATTTTCACATGGTAAATTCTATATTAGGTGTTCAAAAGTAGGATGATCAAGAAATCTCTTTATTTTGGCCCAGGAAGGAAAAAGAACTTCTATGTGATCTGTCAAGAAGCATTCAGAGTATCAACAAACACCGAGACTATAAAGAGTTTGTTTCTTTGTTAACTTTAAGATGACCTAAGAAGGTCGAAACGTTGTTCTTGTACTTTATTCTAACTGAAGTTTTTAACACCCATACTAGCCGTCTCTGTTATACAAAGAGTTTGTTTGTTTCATATGAATTTCACGCAAAGTTACACGAGGGCTATCTGGGCTAGCCGTCCCTAACTTAGCAGTGTAAGA